GAACAGAATGGACCAGATTGCTGTTGCGGCAACAAGCAAGACAAGTTATACCCCTGAGACATCTGAGTTTACCATACAACAGCAGCCATCATTGGGTTGCTGAACTAAAAAAAAACAGTTGTTATAAGGAGGAAAAACTGGAATTTGTTAGTTGAATGATTGTTTAAGTACAGAATAGAACAAAACATATTTTAATAAAATAAAATATTTTCCCTTTATTGGTTGTCAGAAGTCTCTAGTTCTATTGAGATAGTCTCAATACACCTTCTAAGCACTGCAAAGTTGACAGTAGAATGATCCCTACCTACAGACTGTTTTTGAATATGATTATTGTATACTTAAAATAGTATATATTTTATAGCATACTATACTGTATAGTATTCCAGTGCACAAAGAATAATCATCTGCTATCAGTTTCAAAGTTAAGAGGGTGATGGCCTAAATTTTAAAGCAATGTTGTTAATTTATGCTAAACATCATCATGTGGATGAAAAAGAAAAACTATTTCTCTCTTAAAACTCTTGAATTCAAGGCTAATTCACATTCTTATTTACATCTGCAGATAAACTCAGGGTAGTAATAGATACACCTCAGCAGCTACTACAGCTCGGCAGTCATTTTATCCTAAATACAAACTCATTTAAAATGAACTTTGCATAGAGTGTTGTCCCAGGGTGATTAGTATTTTGGGCCAGTGTGGTAATCAGACTATGCTCTGTATTTACTATATACAATGTAAAAATATTAATTATTAAATGCTGCATATAGCATCTTGCAAAATACAGCAAAAGTCGCGTTATCTGGCACCTTACAAACTCTATTAACCGGCATGCCAGTCAACGCGGCAAAAGAGAAAACGGAAGTGCCTACCGTGGCACTTCCAGTTTCGCCAAGCCCCCACGGCCCAGAACATAATAGCAGCCTGTTCCCATTATGCCCAGGGCCCCCCTCCCTGTTCCTTGGCACACTGGCGCGACGGGAGGGGCAGCAGCCCAAACAGGCAAAGACACCTGTTCGGGCCTCTCAGGTAACCAGCATATTTGGTTATCTGGTGCCCCCCATTCCCCATGGGTGCTGGATAACAAAGCTTTTGCTGTAACTTGTTTTCTAACATGAATATCCATTTGAGCATCCATGAGAATTGCCTACTATAATTCTGATAAAATGTCGACCATTTTATGCAAAGCAACTAAAATATTTGTTAGCTTGAAATTATTAAATATTTGTGATTGCAAGTTTTGGGACAGAAAAATACTTCACAGAGGTTGTGGAAGAACTTAGATTTTTTTTTAAAACTTCCCTAAGATGCTATGTAGTCAATTTTTCCTAGCTCTGCTGGTGTTCATTGTGGCACCAAAAATTCATAGCAAAAGCATAAAATACTATTAACTATGTTAATTCTCATACATACAAATATTCTACAAAATAAGGTTCTGTCAGTGAGTGTTTTAATTTTTAGTGGTAGATGCCATAGTGTAAAAGTTTTAAAAGTAATTGATAGATCTTTGCTTTAATCAAATATTAAATATTTTTTGAAATTCTGGCAAACATAACATCTCGTTGCAGGTCATGATGCTCTATATTATACAAGTAACTGGCTTACTACTGGTCTGTATTCTACAGTTCTTTAATTCCATGATTCTTGGATCATTAGTTATAAGTTTTAATGTTTCTGTCTTGCTAGCAAGAACAATTCAGGTACGTGATCCAAAACTGTTTTTGTTTGTTTTGTTTTTATAAATAGTGAACAAACAGTATGAAAAATTATTTAAAAGCACTCTTAGTTTTCCATGGAGTCTCCCTTGGCAGCCTCAGCAGACTACAACGTTGAAAAAAATTCTGTTGGAGTAAATACATTAAATCATCGGTTCCTCAGTGACAGTAAATTAACTGTTAGTTGACTAGTTGTAGCATAACTCTTTGGACAGATCAGGACTTTTCAAATGCTACAGCCATTGTTAATATGCATAGCTGTGTAAAGTTAATGTCCTGATCCCACAAGAGAATTTGTGTGTGTGTGTGTATACAGTTACTTTGCTTGGACCCAACTATTCTCTCCAGCAGAAACTTTCACAGAAGCAAGCTTATGTGAAACAATATTATGGGCATTCACTGATTTGCTTCAGGGGTCAGGATTGTTTTCTTCCATTTCTACATTTGGTTACTGTTTTATAAGTGCTTTTTTACTTTCCCATGAAACATCAGATATTAGTAACTATTGGTGAAGCCAGATGAGATGAGTCACTGATTTGAGTCCATGACATGAAGAACATTTTTGGCCTTGCATGGCAGTGCGATACCAGTACTATGTTTATCTAATTAAGCTATGGCTGAAGCTATCCAAGATTTGATTGTGAACAGGAGTGGGACCGTTCTTAAAGTTGGGTTTTTAAACTGGGAAATCACTGAGAAGTGACCTGGTAGATTCATGTACGGGTAGATCTTAGCCTCCTCAATGGCACATTAACAAAACACTGCTCTCCTAGCAGTGCCCAAAAGAGTACATGTTATCTCTGAGGTCAGAACTGCAACTATAGCTTTCCACCAGGGTCTGGTGACTACATAAGTACAATGAGACTACTTCGGAGTGCACCTTTGATCATATATAGTAGCTGTTCAGCTGGCAGCTTGTGAACTGCATGAGGACCTCAAGTTAAGTTGCAACACTCAGACCCTGCCTGGCTGCTGTTTTCCCCATTTCTCTGGCTGCAACAACAGCTGGAGTCTATGGGTTCCCTCTCCCTCCTCTGGCTTCTGTTTCCTGCCTCCCACCTGGTGCAGCCTGGGGCGGGGAGGGGGAAGAAGGGGTGCTGCCCAGTGCTGTTGTAGGGGAGTAAACAGTGCAGTAGTGTATGTGTGTGGGGGGGGTGCTTGCATGGTCTTGCAGTGCAGCTCAGCTGTGGAGGGGGCTGGGGGGAGTAGATTTGCAGCATGCAGCCAGGTGGTCCATGCCTTGCCTAGTATAGCCTGCATGGTATGCGGCCTCTGCTGGTGTGGTCCCCACCAAGCTTAGAAGTTGGACGGCCCTGCTATAAAGAAATTTACACTGTTCTGGACATAAAGCTGAACTTTAATTGCTTGCATTAGGTTAATGCAGTTATAGCATTACATTTAACAAACAAATACATTTCAAGGAGTCTGTTTTACTCTTTTTTCAAATATATGCAAATCCTTTTGTTTTAAGTAATGAAGTACTAATCTTTTTTTTTAATTTCTAGAGAAACCTAAAAACTGGAGGCTTGTTAAATAGGCTGGGGAAGCTTTTCCTCCATGTACTCTTGGTATTATGTTTGACACTTCTTGTAAATAACTTTATTAAGGTAAATAAATGATTTATTTTAATTCAATGTTTGTATTAATGTAATGTATAATAAAATAACATACTTATGCTATATGTATTACTTTATTACAGTAGTGTTCAGGTGATGTTCTCGTAATGGTCTGGAAAATGAGAGAAGTAAGAATTCTTACAAGTGGTATTTTTTATTGGATTGAAATATTGGGATAGTTTTTCTGCTTTTCCTAATACTGTAGAGCCAGCAGAACTTGAAGCACATAACCTGGATTATGTTCCTCCTTACATATCACCAACTGACCTCATGTACAGTAGATCAGAATTTAGCAGACAGTGGGTTTAAAGGCATTGACACTTGTACACCTGACAAAATATGCCCGTTTTTTGGTTTAATTGCATCAAGGTGTACACATGCAGGGTTTTTGTATGATTTAAATGAGTGTTACATTGCAAACTAAACCACATCTGCATGTAATTTAGTTTGTAATGTAGCAATTTGTAACATTGCAGCCTTTTGACAGCTCGATTTCCCTTCCCCCCACCCCGCTGCCTGCTGCTGAAGGCAGAAACGGCAAGGGGCCTGATCCTTTTTTTTTTTGTCTCACAGAGTCTTCTGCAGCCAGGGGTGGGGGGTGGGGCAAGCCGCTGGTGGGCTGAGCAGCCTCTGAGCTATGGGGGCCCCAGGTCCTTCCACTCTGCAGTGGCAGCACCCCCTGGGGCCACCTGGGCAGGCTGCTAACAGGCTAGATGCTGTCCCAGTTCATGCTCGGGGAAGAGTTGAATTGGACTGGGTGCTGCCTCTGAGCTAGGGCATCATCCAACCACTAATTACCCACCTGGGTGGCCCCAGAGGCTGCTGCTGCTATGGAGGGAAAAACTGGGGCCCCCCCACAGCTCAAAGCCTGCCCCCCAGCTGCGGGAGAGGTGGACAGGCTCTGCCAAAAAACGAA